TTAATAAAGACGCTAGTTGCATTCATTCAAGCAAGTTGTCTGTTGAATAAGAAACGTAAGGACACGGGTCGTACGTGGGTATACACGTGTTGAATGTCGTTCCACGTTATAACGGGGATCGGTGGTGTCTTTTTTTTAAATGCCACGGTCTCCAAAGCGTCAAACAAAGTGTCAATATTTCATAACATTGTCGTTAATTTCAGGGGGTGCCACGGGGTTCCGCTGTAGTAAGTTCCCGTATTTCCTCGATTTAACGCAGTGTTATAGACGTAGCACCTAGATTTAAAACCTCGTCTTATAGACGTGGGACCTGGATTAAATGCGGCCAGGTGTTTCAACTACACCTGGCTCTCGGCACATCGTTTTCGCGGAGAGCCAGGGTGCAGTTGTACAAAACAACACTAGTGCTAAGGTTGCCGTGGCTTCCATACTAGACTTGCACAAGTCTCTACGGTAAACATTAATAGTTTAAATGATAATTTCTAAAAAATAATAAATAACAGACTGGCGTCCTTAGAGACTGTACTGTCCGCTTATCTAGACTTGCCTCTTCGAAGACAGAATTACTATACATCCATGGGCTGAGAATTCAGTAGAGCCTTGGAGCAAGGCTACTTCGATACTTTAACACAGTTACTACAGTCGTAGCGCTATGGTTGCTAAGTACAACGGCACCCTGGTTATTTTAGGCGAGAGGCAGATGATACAGGGTCTGTCTCCAAAATTTGGGATACCAATATAAGTTCTATTTTTGTCAAATGAAAACTGACAAGCGATGCACATACACTGTATCAACAATCTAGGGCAGGGAAACACAGACAAGTTTTCCTTAAATATGCAGCGGCGGTGGGGTAGCCTGGTGGTTAAAGCGTCCGCTCGTCACGCCGAAGGCCTGAGTTCGATTCCCCACTTAGCTACTATGTTTGAAGCTCATTTCTCGCGTCCCACACCGTGATATTACTGGAATATTGCTAAAAGCGGCGTAACCAAACTCAGTCGCTTAAATAAATTGACAGATGGCAATCGTAACTTGATCCCGATCTGTCCAGACTACGTGCATGTAATAAGCCAGTTGATCGATTCGTTGCGGACCAGCCCCCGTGTGTAGTCTGTCATACAGACCCTGAAACAAATATATCCAAGAAAGCCCATGCAAGTCAAGGATATGTGGCAAGTCTAGATTTCCGCAGTTTCCGAAAATGAAAAAAGTCCCAGGGCTGGTTTTCATTATTTATTTATTTATTTATTTATTTCTTTATTTATTTTTTTTTATTATTTATTTATTTATTTATTTATTTATTTATTTATTTATTTATTTATTTATTTATTTATGGGGTTTTGTTTCGGGTTTTTACCCTGTAAAATATGTTCATTTCAGAGACTAGTTGTTAGTCTAGCAGCAGTGGAGTGGGTAAAATGCTTGACTCTCCCGATCATGGATTGGGTGGTGGCCATAAATCCTCAACACAAACACTTGTAAGGGTGTTAATCCGCGACAAACACGATAGTGTTATATTTATCAAGTAAATATAACTTGCTTCCTATATAAATATGACGCGTTCAGATAGGACTTTAATGTAAAGAGACAAATTACAATGTATCGATCAATCTATTATACAACCAACGCATTATAACACCACTATTATGAAAGAATTACTCCTGCGACGAGCCACTATAGCTTCAACTGATATGATATGTTTAATTTACATATTATTATTGTTTACCGATCAAAATAAAATGCTGCTCAAAGCGGATGGGTGGTCCTATTTATATTATTATATAATCATCAATAATTATAATTGTTTTGTTATCAAAATGTACAATGAATTTAAATTGCAACCGTTGACGGAATCTGCAACAGCAGAATAAATTATGGCCTTATTCATTAATAAATATTTTACTTCTTTACACAGAAAAAGTGATGAACAGAGAGCACAGAAATATGATATATGAACAATATTTGAAATATAATGTAATAAAGGTGTACCGCGGCTCATAAGATGTACAATTACATCAGCAGAATTACGGCCTTACTCAGACTTGCCTGTCCTTACGATTTGGGCGTAAGGCTTACTATTTTTTGGTGCTAAATTACAACCTTACGATCATACTGAAATTCCTAACGACTTCTACAAATAAATGGTAGAATACTAGACATTGGCATGGTCTTGCTATTTATAGAGTCATTTCCGGGGGGCGTTGGGGTAGCCTAGTGGTTAAAGCGTTGGCTCGTCACGCCGAAGACCCGGGTTCGATTTCCCACATGGGCACAATATGTTAAGCCCATTTCTGGTGTCCCCCGCCGTGATATTGCTAAAATATAGCTAAAAGCGGCGTAAAACTAAACTCAGTCAGTCAGTCATTTCCGGTACATAAAGTACTGAAAAACAGAAGTCGCATCATAAACATTATAAATAAACAATCTTTGCATCTTACTGTGCTGGTAGAGTTTATTTCAAAGTGAAAGTCTTTAAAAACCGTTAATTAGATCGGCACCACATTTTACTATTAAACACTATATCAAGATTTTAACCAGCAGTGTGTTTCCTTATTTCTTTACATTAACATGCCGTACTATCAAATGCACCTGCCTTACTATATTTGTTTAGCTGATCTGCCTTACTGTGCCTAGTTGTTTCATTTTGTTTAACGTATCACTCAGCAATATTCCAGCAATATGGCGGCGGTCTGTAGATAATCGAGTCTGGACCAGACAATCCAGTGATCAACAGCATGATCATTGGGACACGATGACGTGTGTCAGCCAAGTCAGCGAGCCTGACCACCTGATCCCGTTAGTTGCCTTTTACGACACGGATGTTATACTGAAGATCAATTCTAACCCGATCTTCACGGGTATTGTACCAAGTAACAAGACTCCCAGTCCCAGACACCGATTACTTTAGTATTATTTCTGTTGAACACAGTATGATGATGCTGTTGGCGCAATAATTAGCCCGTTAGCCGTAATAGTCACCATAGAAGTTTCGATAATGAGGAAATGAGCAAAAAGGGACCGTTCATAATTTATGGCTAGGGGGGGTGATGATGATTTTTATGGAGAAACATGTACAATGTGAATGACACCCCCCCCCCTAAAATTTATGTAAAAGTAAGTGACCCCCTGCATGTCATGTACGTACGAAATCAATTTACCGAAACAAATCATCAAAAATGCAAATTCAACTTATAAAGTTGAAAAATAACGCGATGAAAAACAACGCGCGAAATCGGAGTTCAAACGATTCACTAATATTCCCCCAGCGCTTGGGGGTAAAGTTGTTTCAACAGCTGGGCTGCGCTCATAACACATGCGCAGTGAAATAGGTTCGCGCAGCTTGGAAGCGGGTTGTCCGGTGAATACTCGGTGAAGGTTTTGGTGTGAGCTATTTTCCTAATGTTTTGTTGATATGTCACAGGCGCGAGCTTTTTATATGTTATGACAGTAAATTAACTGTTTATATAATTTCATTTGTCTATTTCACCACACGTTCTTCTTACCGAGTCACTTTCTCAGTTCGATACTTAAATGCAATGTCATTATTTAGCGTTGACAGAATTTCTAATTGTGATATAGATATGTCGTTGTCACAGACAAAATTCAATGTCTGTTTTATTGACACCTGTGTGTCTGCCTGCCTGTCTGCTAATGACAATATTCAATACACAAATTCGATCACTGACCACATGCAATTTGAACTTAACACCTATCAGGCTATACACCATAAACAAAACGCATTGATGTATGGCCCGAGTTCGGTCTCTGTCACATTATGTAATTACACAGACAGGCAGGTGTGATACTTGAACACATGACATGTTGTGATGTCTGTTGATTGCAAAATGTTATACACAAAAAATGAGCATGTATTTACAAAACCCAACATCTCTAATATACACACGTACAATGAGCCGTGAGGGCATCAGCAAATGAACCAGCCGTTACACTTGAGTGCACACCCACCCGCTCTGACTGGGTTCGGTGTCCCGGCTGCTTCGTTTCTTGGGAAGTAAACCCAAGTACAAAATATTGCACTTTTGATTTGCGATTGTACGCTTATAATTTTGTTTATATGTTTTATCATAATCAGCAATGTATATTATATGTCATGAATAAGTGATAATTGTGTTTAAATTATGTTTGATTTTTTGGTGGCATGTGACCTTTAACGATTTACAAATGTTAACATTGCAACTCTACTCTGTTTGCAATTCTACTCTGAATACGGTTCCCGATAATGAAATCCCGATCCGAACGTCATAACACCTGTTAGTATCACAGTGCTCATGAAGGTGACGGAAAACCAAATGTTTTCCAATAGACTTCCATTGTAACTTTATATTGTCTAAGGGGCGGTGGGGTAGCCTTGTGGTTAAAGCGTTGGCTCGTCACGCCGAAGGCCCGGGTTCGATTCCCCACATGGGCACAATGTGTTAAGCCAATTTCTGGTGTCCCCCGCCGTGATGTTGCTGGAATATTGCTAAAAGCGGCGTAAAACTAAACTCAGTCAGTCAGTTATATTGTCTAAAGAATAACAGTCATTGCATGTTTTTCTATGCACAGTGTGGCCTTAAAGCCACATTTAAAACACAGATTTTGACTAGGTTAACTTTGAATCGGCTGAATATATGACCTATTTAAGTATAATTCATCATTGCAAGAGAATTAATGGAAGAATACCTCATTGATGGAAGAGTCTACTTTTCTAAAGGTATAACAGCATTTATGTGATGTGCAGTCAACCCTAATTTTGTTTTGATAAGGGTGTAGGCGAAATGAGGCTGTTGGTTTCACACTATTTTTCGACTCGCTGTGCGCATGCGCAGAGCGTGTAAAAACTATCCACTGGACAACTTCCGGTTTGGTCGTATGCTTTACCGATAGTGTAAACACACTCTAAAGAAAGCAAAAATCAAAACAGATATATGGTTTTATGATCTGAACTGTACCCCGCTTTGCTATTACTCGAATATTGCGAAAGCGGCTTAAAACCATACTCACTCGCTCTCTCACTTCTCTCATGGAAATGCAATCTTAAAACATAGCTTAGCACATTTCGGTGAAGTTGAGGAATTTTCAACTTCTTTTCGATTTCTTTAGATTTAAATACTTAATCCATTTATGGAATATCATCTGGAGAATATAACGCTTAACCTCAGTATCAACCTTTCCAGCACTACTGAAAGAGCTGTATAAATATGTCATCAGGATGTCACGTCTATGTACCGTAGGTCAAGGTCAAACATAGGTCAAGGTCAAAGTCCAGATTCCTATTGTTTTCAGCGTTCGTTTGTCAAGCGAATGGCCCGGATTCAATATGAGCTTGGTATCGCTCCAACCCATCCCATTCTGGTCTGGCTAGACTAACGCGTAGTCTATGAACATGTATAATATTGATGGTAACAAATAACCCCATATACATTGGAAAGGAGCCCCAGTGCGATGGGAGGAAGGCTTTAGTATTGCAGGAAGGGAAAATAGTGCGGTCCATTGACTGTGAAACAAACTAAAACCTCGAGTTATTTTGCACTCAGCAATATTACAGCCATATTGCGACAGTCTGTGAATTATCGAGTCGGAACCACACAATCCAGTGGGGTAGCCTAATGCTTGAGGCGTTCGCTCGTCACGCCGAAGGTCCTTGTTCGATTCCCCACATGGGTACAATGTGTGAATCCCATTTCTGGTGCTCCCGGCCGTGATGGTCCTGGAATATTGCTAAAAGCAGCGTAAAACCCAACTCACTCACTGACTCACATTCTTGTAATCAACATCATGAGCAACGATCTACGCAATTGGGATACGATGACATGTGTCAACCACGTCAGCGACAAAATTGAATAAAGGTGAGCTTCTGTACCGATGGTTCTCAGTTAAAGCGTTACTTTCAAAAGAGTTTATTGTCGTTCAAGTATTCAGAAGGACGTACACATGCTAAATCAACACTTCGGATTAAACAGGCACAAGCATTTGCGCCATATCGAATGACACTGTATATATTGTACGACACGTCGAAGCCAGGTCGATTAGAATACACTCTAATCTCATGAAACTGACCTGGTTTCATTTTGATAACGAGTCGAGGGAAGTACTTGACACATCGTTTCGTCACTTGAAACGGACGGCCATGAGGACACTCTCGTCATAGACTGGATAGTTGAGATGTGTCCTTCGAAATAAAATCTGCTTGAGCGAAGGGTTACACAAACGGACCATCCGATGACGCGCATGTAAGTTTTTTGTATCATAGAGCGATACACTTGTCCTTAGCAAAGTGGTGTAGTATTATATTATATGATATGCGTGGTTGTAGGTACCTGTTTGTATGTATGAACAATGCGGGATCAGTTGTATGCAAGTCAGATCCTGGCACAGTAGCAGTTGTTATCCCCTACGTGGAATGACCTTTGTACCTACCCCGGGTGGACTTTTAGAGTTGATATGGTCTGGCTTTGTTTCAGTGTAGCATTGTAGAACCAGGTTTTGTTCAATGGCGGCCTATAGATAACGATAACGGCTATTTCCGTGCAGGAAAGGCGTGGGTGAAATCTGCACTTCCAGTACGCCGACATCGGGTTACATTTTGACTGCACTATTAGAATCGGCGTACATTATGTGTAATCGATGTGTCTCGTAGTATTGTTACTTGGAACAGCATCCGTGAAGATCCGGGTTAGATTTGGTGTTCACTAACTCATGCTTGTCCTAATTATAAGAGGCGACTAACGTGATCGGGTGGTCAGGCTCGCTGACTTGGTTCACACATGGCATCGTATCCCAGTTGCGTAGATCGATGTTGATCACTGGATCGTCTGGTCCACACTCGATTATTTACATCCCGCCGCCATATATCTGGAATATTGCTGAGTGCGGCGTTAAACAACAAAAAAATCCAGTGCGCAAAACCAGCGAGGTAGCCGATGTTTGCAGGAATGCAGAATGCCCACCAGCCTTTTAGTAGCATACAAAACATGTGGTTGTCTCAAACAAATATTGAATAATTGAGGATATCTGTAACAAAAATGACAAGACTGCTACTACAGGCTGATCGTTTGGCGATTATTGCATCCATCCAGCTGTATGTGTGTAGTCTGCATATAATCGATACGATTTGGACATCACGAGCAACGACATTTGCAGCTGGCGTATGGTGACATATGGGAGCATATAAAAAGACGTCATACCATACAAAGCCCGTATAATGAATGCATTTCCACGTAGTGTAGAAAGCGGTGATAGATGCGCATGCGCAAGGGCAACTATACAGGCAAAGCGGATAAAATATTATAGGCGGATTTCAGTGCTTTCAGCCAGTTATCGGATAGGTAAGTGTCAGCACCAGACATTTGCGTTTGAATGTACAAATACAATAGCCTCTGGCGTACAATAATACAAAAATAATTAGATAAATGTTGGAATGATAACGAATGGGTGGTGACTAAAAATGTCTGTAGAATTAAGATGTGTCAGCAAGCTGGGCGATAGATACACGAGGCATTATGGCGTCCTGGTGATAAACCCATGTGTGGAATCGAACCTGGTTCGTCAGCGTGACGAGCGGACGCTTTAATCATTAGGCTACCCCGCCGACCCGCAGACGTCGTGAAATATTGCCGACATATTACTGAACCTCCATCCGTGAAGATCTGGCGTAGATCTTCAGTAACCCAAACCTTCAAAGATTGTACTTTTAGGAATTATTTCTATGCATCGCCGTGACTTTGAGGTAAAAATGTCTGTCTACCAAACCATTTGCCAATATGATTGGCAACTAGGTATAACTTCCCCATCAGATTGCTCGTTACAAAACCTGCGTTTTGCGCAAAAATAGAGAAAAAATTCACTCACATGCACAAAAGAAAGCCGTAATTTTTTTAATACTTTTTTTAAAAAAAAGGGCTTCTTCATGTCGACTGAAACAAGCGGTGGCTTTGGTTTGCTAGGTAATCTGAGTTACTTCCCTTACCCTTTCCCGTCCATTTATCGACTTTTGACAATTTGACTTTTGAACCCCGGAAGAGGAACTAGGGTTTTACCAAAATACTTGCTCTGGAGACATTAAGGAAGTATTGACCTTTATTCATCAGTTTCGTACCCAACCATTTGCAAACAACTGTCGTCGCTTCATTTGGATATAAAGGTGGTGAGGTGAAATGGGGTTTAACGGCGTATTGAAGAATATTTCGGTCATATGACCTATGATTTCAATAGGTTTTGTTTCAATTATCGGCCTCGTCATACCAAAAGACGTTAAAATATGGTACTTGTTGGTCCCTGCCTGGCGTTCGGTATAAATGGGTACAACAAGGACTGGTCGGCTCGGAGTCAGTATACTGTGTCTGAGTGGGGTATTCATGCTTCACTGCGGCATGGTATCTCAGTGAGCTAGCACTATAAAACCAGCTTAAGTCTGGGCTAGTACAAGCAGCCGCACATACACACGCATGCACGTCGTCATATGAGCTAAATATTCTCAAACACGACGTTAAACCCAATTTCACCTCACCTCACCTCACCTCCCCCTAAAATTTACACAACTGCAAATAGCATATGTTGAAATAGCCCACTTCGGCCTAACTGGGCATTCAGTGGGATGCGTAAGAAGATATCCAGAAAAGCATGTTTACTCGTAAAATCTGGAAAACAAATACGAATAGCTGCTGAAAACAATAGATCAGACTATTATAGTGTTTGATTCTGACGAACCAGGGGCGGTGGGGTAGGCTAGCCACGCTGAAGACCCGGGTCGATTCCCCTCATTTGTTCAATGTAAGAAGTACATTTCTGGTGTCCCCGCCTTGATATTGCTGGAATATTGCTAAAAGCAGCGTAAAACTAAACTAAACTCACTCACTCTGACGAACCAAGGGTCTATTTAGGACTCTGAAAGACGAAGTGTAACATTTTAATTACTGACTAAAATGTGAGATGGATGTTTACTTACATTTCTTATTGTTTGTTTGTTTTGTTCCAGGTGGCGTGGCGGTATGCTATGGTGCTCGTGTTGCACAAAATGTGTGGAAGGCGTCCCTAAACAGATCTTTCTTTTGTATGCTCTTACATTTCTCGTTTTCCTCCCTCTGATATGCGTCAACCTTCGCCATTCTTTGTACCACCTACGTTTACACGATGCAGAGGAAGAAGAAAGGCGCCTGATCACTGAGAACGACCTACGATTGGTCGAAAATGAACAAATCGTCAAGAAATACAACGAGTCTGTGATTAAAAATAGCCAATCAGGGCCTTTGTTACATTCTGAGGATGTAGATGTTGGAATTACTGTGATAACGGTTTCGCGAAATCGGCACCGTAAAGGCGGCTACAAGCCAAAGTATCTGACTCAAGTTGTCGGCCGATTACTCGGTCTGTTAAACAACACAGCGAATCATTCCAAACGGAAATACGGGTTGTTTGTGTGTAACGTTGATGATCACCCGGAGACATACGATGAACTGAAGCCTTTGAAAATAATCCTGCCAACTTTTCAAATGTATCAAAAGACTCGAGATTCCAAAATTGACATTTTCGAAAAAGAGAAACGGGACTACATCTTCTGTTTGGAGGAGACTCTGAAACTAAACGCCTTGTATGCATTTTTGGTTGAGGATGACGGATATCCGCACAAAGACCTGATCCCAGTTTTAGAGCGAACCATTGACAGTCACGTCGAACAAAAAGCCGTGGCAGAGTTTTCACCAAAAGTGTTACCGCGAAATGTGACGTACGTGAAATTCTACCACCCGGAACGGTTGCTAGGATACATAAGTACTGAACTGGAACGACTTCCGGAGTTGTTTGCAGTTAGTTTCGTATTCGGAACTCTGATGGTTATTTTATACGCGCACTTTGTTCTGCAGTGGACTCGGAATAATTTGAAGGTGATATGGTTTGTTTGTGTTCTTTATTGTGGCCTTGTGGCATTGTTCGTTGGGCGCGTCAACCTGATGGAGATGCGCAGGATGTCTGTGCAGACGTACCAGGTGACCTCGGCGCCATCTTGTTGCACGCCCGCCATGTTGTACCCTAGACAAGGTGGTCGTGAAATTGTGAAACGGCTGAGTGCGGTTACGTGTAAAAGAAGGTACGGAAAAGATATGGCTCTGGAGGATATTCGCAGAAGACATGGTTACACAGCCTTGATGGTTCAGCCAAACTTATTTAAGCATATTGGTCTTTATTCTTCTCTAAGGAAAGGGGTAATTGATCCTTTTATAATCTAACCAACGCTGTTCGTTGTCATTCATGATTCAACTTCTACTTGCACAATGTTGATGTCAGTTTATCACACCAGTTGCAGTGTATTAATGATTTCTTTTACAGTGCAATTACTCACAATGGGTTGATAGAAATTAATAGCGAAAGTTACCACAAATACCAGAAGTACTACATGAATATTTCAACAACATTATCCGGCAACATTATCATGGGTACACAGAAACACAGGAAATTTGACTTCCTCATTTGTCTCTTAAATCTCTCATATTATGGGTGGTACGTACACATTAAAAAAGAAACATGTATACTGACATTTAAGGATGAAATTAGTAAAAAAACATCTTATTTTAGTTATGTTCTAAAAAGATAAGATCGAACTTTCAGTCTGTCGGGAAACAATTCTGACTTGCCAAACCAAAACATAATGAGGAAATACACTCTTAGTACTGTTTTTCTTACCAAAATATGTTTGTCCGTCTTGTCCAGCCAGAAAACGGTGACGTTTTCATTTTTGGTTCGTCCTCCTGAAAGTATAATATATGGCAAGTCACCCAATGAGTTAATATGAGATTTGACAGGAAAGGCTATCAGTATCCTATCTGTACGTTGACTAACTCTCCCCTATTGCCGGGTTAACCCGTGAAGATCTGGGTTAGAATTGGTCTTCAGTAACCCATTCTTGTCGTACGAGGCGACTAACGGAATTGGGTGGTCAGGTTTCTGACTCGTTGATACATGTCATCGTATCCCAGTTGGGTAGATCGCTGTTAATGATGTTGATCACTGGATTGTCTGGTCCAGACTCCATTATTTACAGACCACCGCAATACAGCTGAAATATTGCTGAGTGCGGTGTTAAACAGCAAACCAACCAACCAACTATTGCAGGGGTTGCTTCGTAATGGCAATAGGTTAGTTGAGGAATACACTTAACCTTGTAGGTATACATGGAAGATTGGGACCGTCTTGTAATCATTGCCACTGTTTTAACTTTTAACATTTGAATATGACATTTCTATTTGGCCAAAAAGTCCGTATATTGCCAACACTCCGAGGCGGCAACCTTACTTGTATGTCTCTTATGTAGAATCCAGAGAATGTTTGTTCTTTTCTTAAAATCTCTGAGATATGTTCCTAGATGTAGGGGCGGTGGGGTAACTAAGTGGTTAAAGCGTTCACTAGTCACGCAGAAGACCCGGGTTCGATTCCCCATATGGGTTCAATGGGTGAAACCCATTTCTGACGTCCCCCGCTGTGATATTGCTGGAATGTTACTAAACGCGGCGTAAAACTAACCTCGCTCACTCTCCTTCTAAACTTTAAGAAAATTAATGTTTCTTTGGCTTAAAATATTCATACAATTTATGTAATATCATAAGGGGAATAGAACTGGGTTATATGCTTGACGAGCGAACGCTTAACCTTTGTCCTAATTGGTGTAAGCTGCATATCAAAGTTTTTACACGTTCCAAGTCCGTGCTAAAACGCCTATGGGTATTGTCCCATTGTGGTGTGGGTTTGGGGCAAACCTCTGTAGAATGACGAAGAACATCCTCGATTAAGCCGTAGATTACATGTATTGTTAGTATGATAAATATATTGGTCCAATTCGCAACAGTAACCTGATTTACTTAAGATGAATATGAAATAGCAGTCCAATCACATTAAACAAACGAGTGAGAAGAAATTTTACTGAGTGTGCATACGGGAGATAAAGTTTGTGACGCCTGTGCCAAAACGAAAGGGCGGTGGGGTAACCTAGTTGTAAGCGTTCGCTAGTCAGGCTGAAGACCCGAGTTCGATTCCCAACGTGTGAAGCCCATTTCTGGTGTTCCCCACCGTGTATTGCTGGAATACTGCTAAAATCGGCGTAAAACTCACTCAAGACAAAAAGGTTCATGACATGGAGATCTGATTCCCTGGATAACCGAGAAAGATGTTAATACTGATTCTTTCTTGCAATACAGTAAAAGTGAGTGGGCAAGGTTTTAAGTCGCTTTTGCAATATCCCCCCGGGCGGGGACATTGTACCCATGTGGAGAATCGAACCCCTGGTCTTCGGCGTGACGAGCGAACGTTTTAATGCAATACACTAATAACTCAACAGCACAACATTTAACTTGATTAATGATTTCCAAAGAAACATCTTAAATTAAATCAGTATGCTGTACATAGATACCAGTTTTAGGACCAGTGGCATTTGAGCATTCCATTTTTCGTGCATGTGTCGAACTAATTAGTTTTACGAGCTGAATCAGGCTCAGTACTCGACCATCGGGTGACAAATGCAGTGTTTCGTTATTTATTTTTACCAGTGTGTTTCAGTGTGAAAGTGAGGTGTATATCTGCGGGGTAGGTGATGTTAGACTAGTTTACATGGTACTGTTGTCCTTCATATCAAACTACAGCTTGGAAACCATGATTTCTTAAGTAATGTCTGGAAGGTTCATGGGGGACCGTCATGAAAGATGTTTTTATCCATAAAGGACGCGGTATCATAAGGGCTCTATTGGGACCATAGGATCCGTTTAATGTTGATGGTCAGTTTAAAAAAATGAAGAAAGCTTCAAACGTCAGGAAGGTTCATGGCGACCGTCATGAAAGATGTTTTTATCCATAAAGGACGCGGTATCATAATTGAATTAGGTAAGGGGTAGGTTTCAGTTATTTGCCCGTCGTGGTAATTTACACAGCTTTATTTCCAAGTTTTCCGTCACGTTACATTGTGACCTTCAGCTGCCAAACTGGGTCTGTACCCATCCTTCTCCAATGATCTGGTGGGGTAGCCTGATGGTTAAAGTGTCCACTCGTCACGCCTAAGACCCGGGTTCGATTCCCCACATGGGCACAATATGTGAAGCCCATTTCTGGTGTACCCAGCCGTGATATTGCTGGAATATTGCTAAAAGCGGCGAAAAACCCAACTCACTCCAATGAACTGGACAATCCGGGTGGGATCGGGGCCTAGATTTTCGAAGCTCTCTTAGCGCCAAGATAGTCGTAAGTTAATGTTAATGTATGGCACTTACGACTATCTTAGCGCTAAGAGAGCTTCGAAAATCTAGGCCCAGTCCTGTCCTCGGCCCAATTTCGTAGTACAGTAGACAGTCGTAGCGCTCGTCAGCTTTGCGAAACGGGGCCCAGTTTAACGGGGATTCATCTTATTTTCCCAAATAATGTATTGCCAAATAGTTACCCAGATGTTGGTTTACGGTGCTATGATTGAAGCGTGCGAAGGTTTGTGCTTACTTGAGTATGTATGAGTAATGAGTGTAATTAGCGTCGTTAAGTTTCACAGAATGTTCAAGTGCGGAGAAGAAAACCTTGGCGTTAGGCATGCCGTCGAATACTTCAACGAGAATTACCAAGCACGTTGCCATTTGTCTTGCTGTTTGTTCTATTGTTTCTTTGTTGGCTTGTTTGTTTATTCATTATATAGCTCATGCTGTTGATCACTGGATTGTCTGGTCCAGACTCGATTATTTACAAACCGCCGCCATATAGCTAGAATATTGCTGAGTGCGGCGTAAAACTCACTCACTATTTATTGTATAACGGCACCCATCTATATTCCGTGTACATGACGAATATGAACAAATCAGGACTTGACAATCAAGTGGTTGATACCATGAACCACGATGAACGCGTTGGAGTACAATGGCACTCTATTAACAGAGTCAATGAGCGTAATCATCTGATAACATTTGTTCGTCTTTTGTATTTCCATCTAAATGGATCGGATGGCAACAATGGCCGGATACAAGTTGATTAAAACCACGAAGATCCGGTGAAGAAGTGGTCTTCAGCAACCCATGCTTTTCGTAAAAGACGGGTGGTCAGGTTCGCCGACTTGGTTTGCACATGTCATCGTATCCCAATTGCGTAAATGTATGCTCATACTGTTGATCACTGGATTGTCTTGTGCAGACTTTATTATTGACAGACCGCTGTCATACAGCTTGAATATTGCTGAGTGCAGTGTTAAACAAAGATGGTTGATTTTCCGAAACGGCAAACGTTCTATAGCCTTCCTGTTAGCTTCGAATTGCATCTCCTCCCCATACATCATGATTTGTTGTTCACATTATCGACTTCCGGTTTCTCTGCTCCAGCGTTGAAACCAGTTTGCAGGACGCCATGATATATAGCCCTGTGGCCTCAAATGTTTATTTTCGGTCGTAATTGTTTTGGAGGAAAAAGACATGCACATGTTTTTATGTTACCATGGGTCGATCGGAAATATGTTTGTGCTTCTATATTTATATTCAGGTGTCATATTCAATATTTGGTTAATATTGTATTTATGTAGCAGTTTACGACTAACACTGAGGTCGTAAACCTGAATTTACCGTTATCATTTCCCATAATTTGAGTTTATCGTGAATAGATGTGAATTCAGTGCATGTTATGCGAGGCAGGAGTTAGTTCTGTAGATGTAGAGGGCACAATGGGTTTAACGCCGTCTTCAAGAGTATCGCGCTAATTGCGGCGTACATGCATGTGTTTGGCCGTTTGTTTTCAGATGTTTGACTACGTCAGCGTTCCGCGATGGGCAAGGTGTTATGAAGAGTTATGTCACTTTGCCATATGGTGGGTGTCGGGAGCGGTTCGAACTTGGGTACAATGTGTGAAACCCATTTCTGGTGTCCCCCTCCGTGATATTGCTGGAATATTGCTAAAAGCGGCGTACTCGCTCACTCACTCACTAACCCACTTTGTCATGGGAGATGCAGCAGTTCGTGGATTCGAATCCAGGACTCGCCTCGATTGTAATCATTGGTTTGTCTGCACCCGTGTTCATAGCTTTTGTCACAGTGGCATATTCAACGCTTTGGGCTCTCGTCCGATATTAACCTGGCACGCCAATATGATTCAAATACTATTGAAAGTGGTGTTAGACCCAAATCACTCATGAATGAAATTGTATGATTGTAGTGATCATGTTCACGACGAAAACCCGGTTCGAATCCCCACATGGGTACAATGTGTGAAGCCCATTTCTGGTGTCCCCCGCCGTGATGTTGCTGGAATATTGCTAAAAGCGGCGTAAAACCAAACTCACTCAGTCAGTCAGTTAGTTATCATGTTGAATAAAGATGTAAACACTAATTGCTATGTACGTACAAATGCAGTATTACTTCCAAATCGAACACAGGCTTTTAGTTCTCCTTTCCTGTTAAGTATACCTTCCATGTATTATATATGTTATTTGTTGAAATAAAATGTCTGAAAAAATATTACGTTTTCATTTGTTCTGTTGTTGTTGTTTGTTTTATTTATTTTTTTAATTTGATCATATATGCAGTTTACGGTTATTGTTTATAGACGGATGAACAAATATCGAACAAGATAATGTGTTTTTTAATTGGTGGCTCTGACTGAAGAGTTGGATGCATTTTGTTTCCTATGTCAACGCGGAGTGGTGTTGTAGCCTGTGGTTAAAGTGTGCGCTCGTACGCCGAAAACCCGGCTCGATTCCCTACATAAGTTCAATGTGTGAGGCCCATTTCCGGTGTCCCCGCTGTGATATTGCTGGACTATTGTTAAAAGCGCAGTGTTAAGCCCATTTCTGGTGTCCCCCGCCGTGATATTGCTGGAATATTGCTAAAAGCGGCGTAAAACTAAACTCAGTCAGTCAGTCAGTAAAAGCGCAGTAAAACCTCACTCACTCACCCGAGAGAGAGAGAGCGGTATTACGACGCTTTTAGCAATATTCCAACAACACGGCGGGGGAACACCAGAAATGGGCTTCACACATTTTGCCCATGTGGGAAATCGAACCCGGGTCTTAGGCTTGACTAGGGACCACAAGGCTACCCCACCGCCCCTAAAACTGATTGAGACCACAGGGGCTTGTATTGCTAAAAACAAGCTATGTGTTGTCACTGACGGGGTACTAGTTCTATTTGAACGGTGTTTTTAAGACAGCGTCAGTAACAATAAGTAACTTGATGCCAGGGATTTATGCTTTACAAGTCATTCTCTCATTCTCATAGGCCAACAACCGTGACTAGACATGTTGCGTGATACATGGTCGATCCACGTCTTTCTGCATGGTGGTTGTAGTCAGGTGTTTCGATGCGTGGTCTTGCTGTTTGTCTATCTTCACAATGATAAACCTGCATTAATCTTGTGGGGCTATTCAAATGACGAACCATGGGAAAGACTCTTTTGTTACATAGAAATGTGCCAGCCATTATTACGTGCCAGCCATTATTACGCAACCTTTTGAAATACATACCTATATCTGATCTGATTTTTTTGTCTGAGTCAGTTCATGTGCCAGCGACTATAAGGAGAGCTAAGTAAAGTAGTTGTGTGAATTCACTCTTTGAAACGGCGTATGGGTACAACTCGTGACAATGTAATGCTATTTTAAAGGCACAATGTCACACCACATTTCTCTAAAAATACATAATGCATTTCTCTCAAAAATACTATCAGCCCTCAGGGAAGCCCTGCAATGTTGCATTAATTCGACTCTCACGCCCTCTACCGGCCGAACATATTTTCAAGCGAACCCATATAGAGTTATGTCCCTTGAAGCGCTCTTTACGAATATCCTAAAACGCAACTTGTGATTGAGGCCAATTCAGCAAACACCCACAACACCACGTGTGACAGTGTTCGATGTACGGTGCAATCGTTTACATTCCGTATATAGCAAGTGTTTCAATTGTCGATTTCAGGCAAGTCGTAACGGAGAATAAGTTCTTATTGCCTCAACAGGAAACTAAAGTGAGTGCATATGCCCCCAATATAAAAATTATAGTCCAAAATATTGTCGAAAATGTGTGACATTGTGCCTAACAGCGGATATCATTCATATCGAAAATGGGTGATGATTATAATTATGTTTAGAAAACATACTGTTTACATGCAATTCACATGTTTTTGTGTATGTGTAAAATGAATACCATATACTTCTGAAGTGTGAAAAATTCTCTCATCTAAGAAGAAAATATCAACCAGCTCCATTTACAGACTACCCAACAACTACTAACTTCATACACTTGATGGAATCTACTGACAAAGATGTATCATATAAACTTGGATTCTATCTATCTAAAGTATTCACCATAAAATCATCCTCAAAAACTTAAACTTAATGCATGCAGGATAATATGTTTGTAATTTATCATGTATTATGGGCCTAGGACCTTTTTTGCAGAATAAATTTGTCTGTCTGTATTTCACAAGGCAATATATCTTACTGAAAGTTTCAGTTTGTTAGTGAGTGAGTTTAGTTTTTCGCCGCACTCAGCAATATTCCAGCTATATGGCGGCGGTGTGTCAATAATCAAGTCTGAATCAGACAATCCCGTGATCAACAGCATCAACATCGATCGGCGCAACTGGGATCATCGATCAGCACAAGTCAGCGAACGTTAGTCGCCTCTTACGACAAGCATGGATTGTGGACCAATTCTAACCCGAATGTAATTTGACATGAAAAATGTAGACTAAACATTTGCAACCCGGTAATGATGCAACAAAAGTGTAAAAAATATATAACAATATTTTTTAATCACATCGTCAAAAATATCATGTTCTCAGATTTCCCGGCCGGTGAGGTAGCCTAAAGGTTAAAGCGTTTGCCCATCACGCCGAAGATCCGGGTTCAATTCCCTATACATGGTACAATGTGTGAAGCCCGTTTCTCGTGTCCCCCGCGCGGATATATATGGAATGTTGCTAAAACGCAGCGTAAAACTAAACTCGCTCACTCTCCTGAACTTTAAGAAAATTAATGTTTCTTTGGCTTAAAATATTCATACAATTTATGTAATATCATAAGGGAAATAGAAGTGGTTCATATGCTTGACGAGCGGACGCTTAACCTTTGTCCTAATGGGTGTAAGCTGCATATCAAAGTTTTTGCACGTTCCAAGACAGTGCTAAAACGCCTATGGGTATTGTCCGTCTCGTGTGGTGTGGGTTTGGGGCAAACCTCTGTAGAATGACGAAGAACATCCTCGATTAACCCGTGGATTACATGTATTGTTAGTATGATAAATATATTGGTCCAATTCGCAACAGTAGCCTGATTTACTTAAGATGAATATGAAATAGCAGTCCAATCACATTAAACAAACGAGTGAGAAGTAATTTTGCTGAGTGTGCATACGGGAGATAAAGTTCCTGACGCCTGTGCCAAAACGAAAGGGCTGTGGGGTAACCTAGTTGTAAGCGTTCGCTAGTCAGGCCGAAGACCCGAGTTCGATTCCCCACATGGTTACAACGTGTGAAGCCCATTTCTGGTGTCCCCCACCGTGTATTGCTGGAATACTGCGGAGGGGGAGGGGAGGGAGAAGCAGGACATTGTACCCATGTGGAGAATCGAACCCCTGGTCTTCGGCGTGACGAGCGAACGCTTTAATGCAATTCAGTAATAACTCGACAGCACAACAATTAACTTGATTAATGATTTCCCCCAAAAAATCCTAAATTAAATCACTATGCTTTACATAGATACCAGTTTTAGGACCAGTGGCATTTGAGCATTCCATTTTACGTGCATGTGTCGAACTAATTAGTTTTACGAGCTGAATCAGGCTCAGTACTCGACCATCGGGGTGACAAATGCAGTGTTTCGTTATTTATTTTTACCAGTGTGTTTCAGTATGAAAGTGAGGTGTATATCTGCGGGGTAGGTGATGTTAGACTAGTTTGCATGGTGCTGTTGTCATGATTTCACATGCCTTGTCCTTGATATCAAACTACAATGAAACAAGTCGAACCCGGGTCTTCGGCGTGACGAGCAAACGCCTTAGCCACTAGGCTACCCCACCGCCCCCCAATTGCTATGTACGTACAAATGCAGTATTACTTCCAAATCGAACACGAAGCATTCAGTTCGCCTTTCATGTTAAGTATACCTTCGATGTATTATATATGTTATTTGTTGAAATAAAATGTCTGAAAAAATATTACGTTTTCATTTGTTTTGTTGTTGTTTGTTATATTTATTTTATGTTTTTTATTTGATAATATATGCATTTTACGCAAAGAGCTGGTTATTGTTTATAGACGGATGAACAAATATCGAACAAGATAATGTTTTTTGGGAGTTGCTGGGTCTGACTGAAGAGTTGGTTGTACAGTGTTTGCTATGTCAACGCGGAGTGGTGGTGTAGGCTAGTGGTTAAAGTGTTCGTTCGTCACGCCGAAAACCCGGTTTATTCCATACATAAGTTCAATGTGTGAAGCCCATTCCCGGTGTCCCCGCTGTGATATTGCAGGAATATTGCTAAAAGCGGCATAAAACCTCCTCACTCACTCACTCCCTATGTCAACCCGCATGCACGAACATCGCTGTTGTGGGGACGGGTACAAATAGACAGATTCCGTTTTGTACACAACTACGATCAAAGAAACCTCAAGTATAGTCATCGGTATTTGTCCGTGCGTTATTCCATACATCAACTTGAAACTGCTTTTGTGTGTGTGTGAGAGAGAGAGAGAGAGTGAGAGTGAGAGCTTCACAAATTTTGCACATGTGGGGAATTGAACCCGGGTCTTCTGCGTGACGAGCGAACGCTTTAACCATTAGGCTACCCCACCGCTCCCTGCAATTGCTTGAGACCACAGGGGCTTGTATCGCTAAAAACTGTCATCAAGTTATGTGTTGTCATTGGCGGGGTGTAAGCTCTAAATAAACGGACTTTTTTAACACAGCGTCAGTCACAATATGTAACTTGATGCCAAGGATGATTTTTTGCGTTACAAGTGCCTATGTGTGAGTTTAGTTTTACTCCGTTACCAAGAAACATACGTGTCGGTCATAGGTTCGGGACATA